TTTTTTTTTTTTTTTTTTAAGATGCTTTACCTCCTCTGTTCCTGCTCTGGATTATGACTCAGGGGCTTAGTGTGCTATTTAAAAAATATATAAGGGAGAGCAGATCTGTGAGAGCTGCCTTAACTCACTTGCGGTGCACGGCGGGGTCATCGTCGGCGCCGCTGCTGCCCCGGGGGTTCCTCTCCTCAGGGATGTTTGCCGTGATCAGACTGTGGGAATTGAACCACACGTGGCGAACCGGGTGCCTGGAAAACAACCCACAGCTCTGGGTGAGGTGCCACCTGCACTGCACTCCCAAAATCCAAGTGTGGGAAAGGGATCGCTCAGGATTAAACAAGGATTCGTTTAAGTCGACGCTCGTTCTATGGCCAGAGGTTGGGAACCTGCACCTCTGGCTCTTCTCCAGCCTGGAGCAGATCCCACATCTTCTATCCCATCCAGTATGGCCAGAGGTTGAGAACCTGCACCTCTGGCTCCTCTCCTCCAGCCTGGAGCAGGAACCTGCACCTCTGACTCTTCTCCTCCAGCACATACATCTTCTATCCCCATCCAGAATGGCCAGAGGTTGGGAACCTGCACCTCTGGCTCCTCTCCTCCAGCCTGGAAGAGAACACACATCTTTTATCCTCATCCAGTATGGCCAGAAACTGGGAACCTGCACCTCTGACTCTTCTCCAGCCTGGAGCAGATTCCACATCTTCTATCCCATCCAGTATGGCCACAAACTGGGAACCTGCACCTCTGGCTCTACTCTTCCAGCCTGGAGCAGATCCCACATCTTCTATCCCTATCCAGTATGGCCAGAAACTGGGAACTTGCACCTCTGGCTCCTCTCCTCCAGCCTGGAGCAGGAACCTGCACCTCTGATTCTTCCACTCCAGCCTGGAAGAGAACACACATCTTCTATCCCCATCCAGTATGGCCAGAGGTTAAGAACCTGCAGCTCTGGCTCCTCTCCTCCAGCCTGGAAGAAATCCCACACCTTCTATCCCATCCAGTATGGCCAGAAACTGGGAACCTGCACCTCTGGCTCTTCTACTCCAGCCTGGAGCAGGAACCTGCACCTCTGACTCTTCTAGTCCAGCCTGGAGCAGATCCCACATCTTCTATCCCCATCCAGAATGGCCAGAGGTTGGGAACCTGCACCTCTGGCTCTTCTACTCCAGCCTAGAGTAGCACATACATCTTTTATCTGCATCCAGAATGGTCAGAGGTTGGGAATCTGAACCTCTAACCTTTCTCTCCCAGCCTGCAGCAGGAACCTGCACCTCTGGCTCTTCTCCTCCGGCCCGAAGCAGATCCCACATGTTCTATCCCCACCTAGTGGGCTCTTACCAGAACACACGCGGAGGTCAGAAAATCTGTTCCAAACCCGGCAGCACGGAGGCTGTGAGGGATGGGGGCTCTCTGCTTGTTTGCTGCTTTAAGGACTGCAGCACACTCCTGGGAAGAGCAGGGTGCTTCCCAAAATGAAGGGTAAGGACACCCAGGACCCCCAGGCACTGAGCTATGGAAATGCACTCTGTGGCACGTGCTAAGAATCACAGACTCATGGAATATTCTGGGCTGGAAGGACCCACAGGATCATCAGTCCAGCTCCTGGATGCACAGACACCCCAACAATCCCACCCTGTCCCTCAGAGCGTTGTCCAAACCCTCCTGGAGCTCTGGCAGCCTTGGGGCTGTGCCCACTGCCCTGGGGAGCCTGGGCAGTGCCCAACCAGCCTCTGGGGGAAGAACCTTTTGCTGAGATTCAACCTGACCCTGCCCTGGCACAGCTCCAGCCCTTCCCTGGGTCCCATCCCTGCTCACACAGAGCAGAGGTTGGAGCTGCCCCTCTGAGGAAGCTGCAGACCCTGAGGAGCCTCCCCTCAGACTCCTCCAGCTGGACAAGCCAAGTGCCCTCAGCTGCTCCTTGTGTGGCCCCTCCAGACCCTTCCCCCTCCTCAATGTCCCTCCTTAGGATGCTCAATCTGGTCTTCACTCCTTTTCTCTCATTGGGGAATAAACTCATCCCAAACCACTGCACCAGCATTTTCTGTCCAAGCAGGAGTAACTTCTCCCCTCATCTCCACGACCCCAACGTGTCTCCTGTCACCTCCCCTGGCTCCTGCCCTTGTTTTCCATTCCCAGCCATGGATAACACCACACACAGCCCTTATCTCAGAAGGCCTGTTTGATTGAAGGGATCCCTTCTGATTCCTCTATAGATTAAACAGTATTTCAAATGTTTAATCTAATGGTTTCACTTGGAGTCCATCCCCCAGCTCAGCCCTGCCCTGCCTGCCCTCCTCCTGCAGCAGCACTAATGAGCGTGCCAAGGAGACAATCAATGGAATATTGTCCTTAATGCATCAGCCACATCACAACAGGCTTTATCATTCCCAGGGTCAACAGGGAAGGCAATACCTGCTATTAATCAATGACAGCTCCAGCTTGAACTTCTCTGCCTGTAAATACCTCATCTAGCTCCTCTTTGGAAAAGAGGCATTAAAAAAAAAAAAAAGAAATCAGGATTTATCTGCTCATTTTATGGCTATCACTCAGAGTTACAAGGGGCTAAATCCTTGAGTCTTCACCCAAATGAAGCCAAATCCCTGGGAACTGTGCCTTGATCAGAAAATCTGAATTTGGCTGTGGCAACTGTCAGCTCCAGGATACTGATCTCTGCTTGTACTCCCAGTACTGAACTACTTGTGCTTTCAGTACAAACTGGTATTTTAGTATTTAAATGAGTTTAAATACCAGCCTGGCTTTGATCATCACCATGAAGGGAATGTGTGAACGTGACGAGCAGAAACACAGGGACTGTGGTGGGATACACCGGATAGAGAGAGCCAGGACCAGCCACTCTGAAAACAGCCAGCCCAGCGTTTTAAATGCAAGGTTCAGTAGGCAGAGTGGTTGGGGATGGGGCAGGGAGAAGGCAGGAACTGAACCTCATGGAAAATCCAGGAGAGAAAACCTCCCTGGCCTCCAACACCGACTGAAGTGCTCGTTAACTAACGAGCAAAAGCCCAAGACAGCTAAAGGGCACACAGAGAAAGCCATGACTGCAGCTGGGGAGGCAATCTGTTCCCAAATCACATGAACACTGAACAGAACCCTCCAAAATTCATCCTTTTGGATCATCTCCTCCCCACACTCCTCCCGTCAGCCGGACCCCACGGACCCCCCGGGACAGGCCCCCCCCCCCAGGAGTTACCTGGCGTGCATCTCCCACAGCTTGGTGCCCATCCGCTGGTCCCACACGCACACCAGGCCCTCTTCTCCCCCACTGACGATCTTCCAGTCGTCCATCTGCACCGCAGACACTCCCAGCTGGTGGGCGTAGAGGGAGCACACGGACTCGCCCCCGCGCAGGTCGAACACCCTGACCCTAAACCAAAGCCAGGGAGAACAAACAGGGGTAAAAACCAGCTGTGGACGTGCAGCCTTGTGGGTTCTGAGAGCACGGGGATCTTTGGGGTTGTGAAAATGTTATCTGGGACAGCAGCAGCAGTCCCGTGGCCACTGCAGGGCTGGAAAACCAGTTGGGTCCGTATTTTTCACTGCTGAGTTTTTCCTCGGACTTTTGGTTATCAGAGGGTTTTTCAGGCAGACTTCTCCCACCATACAGCACTTCCCTGACTCTTTACNTGGCTGTGAGGGTGGGGAGGCCCTGGCACAGGTTGCCCAGAGAAGCTGTGGCTGCCCCTGGATCCCTGGAAGTGTCCAAGGCCAGGTTGGATGGGATTTGGAGCAACCTGGGCTGGTGGAAGGTGTCCCTGCCCATGGCAGGGGGTGGAACGAGATGGGCTTTAAGGTCCCTTCGAGCCCAAACTCCGATTCTCTGCTTTCAGTAAGCCCAGACCCTGGGCGATCTCCCACGAGCTTTGTTGCAAACGGGAGTTCCAGTGAATTGTTTCAATCGAACGGAGGCAGATAAAAGCCCGAACTGTTTTCCAAACCACGCTTTGCCCAGCGGCACCTGGCAGCCGCACTCCGGGTACCGCAGCCTTATCCAGCTGCGCCGAGCGGGATTCCCGCTGTCCTGGATCTCACGAGGAAGCCCGAGCTGCTGCTTTCCCGGCAGCAGGAGCCAGCGCTGCCGCACGGAGCGGGCTGGGAGCCGGGGGGGAGAGGGGGGGTCCTGGGAAGCCGGTCTGGGAGTGCCCGGCGCCAGGAAGGGGCAGGCGCATCCCTGCCCGTCGGAGCATCTGGAGCAGCCGGGATGCAGAGCCGCGGGCGGGGACCGGCCGTGCGCCTCCCGCTCTGACATGCCGAGGTATTTTTTTTTTTTTTTTTTTGCTGTTCCTTGGGTTGTTTGCTGCCAGGTGCGTTCGTAGGGATCGCTGTTGCGCTGTTTTACCGGGATTTTCGGGAAGCAGAGCCGCGGGCAGGTGTGTTCGTACTCCCTGTGCAGACGTGGGGCGGGGGGGGAACTTGCTGCATCACCCAACGCAGCAAACTTTGAGCTGCCAAGTCAAGCTGGGGGTTCTTCTTGGGTTTAATTTCCCTTGGAAATGAGGTAAAATTACTCCCAGAACCAATATTTTATCCATGTGTTTAGAGAAACCAGGAACCCTCGTTCCTTTAGGTCTACGGTGGGGGGAGGCAGTAAAAAAAGTCGGGGTTTTGTGTCCTTTCGAAACTGAAGTCTGTGTTTTTCCCATCAGTGTGGTTTCCCTGCAGGGGAATAGAAAAGAACTGAATACTCACTTTTTAGTTATTTGGACTGGAAATTAATGTCTGTTGCACTGTATGGATCCCACACCTCTGCTCCTCTTCCTCAGAGGAATTTATTTGCAGCAGCAGCATTTTGGCTGGTTTTTCTTGGTTTTAGAGTTGAGGATTAGTAAATTTAAGGGTTTGTACATGGCTAATTTCTTGATAAGCCTCTAAACTCAGCTGTAAGTGCCCTCTTAGTACTTTGTGTTAGTCTCTGTCCTCTTTTCTCATAGCACAGTTAACCTGAATTTGAAAAAAAAAGCTGCTTTTTTTTTGGTCATACCTTGAATGTCCTTCAGATTCAACTCTTGTTACTATATGCCTTTTTGAAAAACAAAACAAAACCCGCAAAAACTTCTTCCTTGTGTGCTAATTTGGCTTCTTGGTATTATTTTAGTAATTACTGTTCTTGGCTTTCTGCATTTTCCTTGCCCGATGTTCATCAATCTAAAGCCATTACTTCACCTTAAAAAAAGCCTGCTAAATTTTTTGTGATTACTGCATCCCATCGACTATGGAGAACTATAAAGGAGTTTATTATACTTTCTGTAGCATCTGAAGCCAGGAGGGAGATGTGCATCTGTATTTCCCTGCCAGAAGGAAGGCTGTGTTTGAAGGGCTGTGCTGTCCCTGTGTAAGGGTAACTCTGGGTCCACATCTCATTAAAAGTCAGCTGATTGGTGGAGCAGGTAATGAAGAGTATGGGAGATATGGTAAATAATTAATAATATTAGTGTAATGGACTTTTCTGGGATGGAGCCTTGCTCTGGAGAGTTTGAGACTGTGTGTGAACTCTCAGTTACTCTTATCTGAATGTCACCGTTGCTTTTGGGTTTTTGTTTGGTTTTTTTTGCCAGGAGAGGCAGAAGAATGGTGAGCCAGGGGTTATTTGATGCATTTTATCTCTCTGTGTTAGTCCTCAGGTTTCAGGAACATAATCCCTGTGGCTTTGCAGGTGCAACCCTAAGGAATAAGAGTGCAATTTAAGGAGAGGGCTGCTCTGCTTAGGGATGGAGTGCTGGTCTCTCAGCTCTCATGCCAAGCTGCTGAGGCAAGAAAGTTAGTCCCAAATGCTGTGTTTCACACCTTACCCTTGGAGAGTGAATGTGCAGACTGCAGGGAAGTTTGGGGCTCGATATCTTCTTTATGGTTTTCCACTTGTGCTAAATCACTGGTTGGAATAATTGTATTGTCACCTTGTGTCATATTTGCTCAGGTGTAATAGCTTTGCCAGAGAGGCAGTCGCCTGTAAAATTGTGCTGCAAAATTTTTAATGTTCCTTGGAAAGGTGGGGAGGGTTTAGAGGCTTTTTTTTCCCCTATTATAAAAGTGGGTTTTTTAAAATTTTTATTCTTTTTTCCTCCCTTTTTTTAATTATTAACTTATTTTTAGTGGTGTATGGAATTCTCTGGTAGTATCCTTTTTTAGGACTAGTAGATGGGTCTGAAGACACGTTTCCTCACAAATATTTTCAAATGACATGAAATGAATGAAATTTCAGCTGTTTAGATGCAAAATAAAACTAAGTGGCCCCTCTGGATTCTGCTCTTTACTTGCTGTACAGCTAAATTGTTGTAAGGGTTAAAGTGAGAATAAAGTGAGAATCAGTTCCTTGTGTGCTGCAGGCTTTTATTTTAGGTGTCCAGTTTTAACTTAGTTTCTGTTTTTTAAATTGTGTGTGTGGTTCTTTATTTTTTGTTTTGTTTTGTTTGTTTGTTTGTTTGGAGGTTTTTTTGTCTACGAATGTCTATTATGCACGAGCACCATCTTTAATAAAAAGAAAAAAAAAAGGCAGATTTTCAGAGAGACTGGACTTGTGAAGGGCACTGGTGTAGTTCAGTACCTGTAGTGAACTTTCAGGGTGGAGAGGTGGCAACGCTGACATTTGTAGTCAGTTTTGGCACCGTTGGTTGTAAGATCATAATTTTAAATGCGTGTTAAGAGCTTCAAATTGGAAAAGACCATCTGCATCCCCAGCTGTGCTTCTTGGTACCTCAGCCTTAATGCCAGATTGTCAGGTGTAATTACTGAGTGCCTTCCAAACCCAGGGATGGGGCTGGGCTTTTTGTTCTCAGAATCCCAGAATTGTTTGGGTTGGAAGGGACCTTAAAGCTCAGCCAGTTCCACCCCCTGCCATGGGCAGGGACACCTCCCACTAGCCCAGGTTGCTCCAAGCCCCGTCCAACCTGGCCTTGGACACTTCCAGGGATCCAGGGGCAGCCACAGCTTCTCTGGGCAACCTGTGCCAGGGCCTCCCCACCCTCACAGGGAAGGATTCCTTCCCAATATCCCATCTAACCCTGCCCTCTGGCAGTGGGAACCATTCCCCCGTGTCCTGTCACTCCAGGCCCTTGTAAACAGTCTCCTCCATTTTACTTGTAGCTCCTTCATGTCCTAGAAGGTCACAATTAGGTCACCCCAAAGCTTCTCCAGGCTGAACAATCCCAACTCTCTCAGCCTTTCCTCCCAGCAGAGCTGCTCCATCCCTCTGATCCTCTTGGCAGGTTATTCATTCCCTTCCATCCTTCCTCAGGCTCCAAGCCCAGCAGTATCTCCAGACCAAATCCAACCAAATCAATCCCCACCCAACTGAGCTGATTCAGTCAAACCCACCCCCTGGCACAGCCCACCCTGGGCTCTGACACATCAGCAAGTTCTCACCACTTTGTTTTGTTTTGTTTTGTTATGTGGGTTTTCTTTTGTTCTCAAACAAATCTCTTTGCAGAGACAAGATTTTATTTGTGTGAAAGACGAGATTTTATTTGTGTGAAATGATTTCCGCGGGTTTATTGTTGTTGTTGTTGTTGTTCAGGTTTGGGGGATTCGTTAGAAAACAATTTCTGCAGGAAGTGTGACTAATGAAAATTTCCATTCTGTGTATTTCAATTTGAAAATGCTGGTGGGAAGAATCCAAGCAAAATATTTCATGGATTCTCTTTTTTTTTTTTTTCCTCCAAATCTTCAACTGGAGAAATCCAGTTTTTTTCAGCTGGAAAATGAGAGTACTTGCCTCTACTTTCTGTGACCATAATAATGTGAAGAAAGTCCTTCTTGCAGAGAAAAAGCAACAGGTTCTCCAAAGTACAAAAGGGCTGAGGAGTTTTTTGGGAAGTTTTCTTCTCATGAGTGAAAACATTGTTATTTCTTCAGTTGCTCTCCCTGTTTGTGTGTTGTTTCTCACAGAGGGAAACATGGAGGAGGCACTGCAAAAACTGAGATTTTCCTTTTTGGAAACAGAGCTAAAAACATCTTATTCCAAAAGGAAAATGCCAGGTTGGTTTCCAGCTGTTGCCTGGAAACTTAAAACGCAGAACAATCGACAACTTTGTCTCACTTAGAAATTCCCCTCGGGAAAAAACTCCCAGTTTTCAATCAGCTCCGCTTTTTGAGCTTCCCATCTCCCTGAAACCTCCACTGACAACTTGTTTCTGGAGGGGTTTTCATAATCCTGGTTGGGAATTGTCGCTGTCACACCCCAAAGGCACCGTTCCCTGCTCCGTCCTCCCCAACAAAGGAGAGCAATTGATTCCTGTGACATCCCACCCACTGCTTGTGTCAAACCCTTTGTACCAGAGATTGATTTTAATGAAATGTTCCACTTTCACACACAGGAAATGCAGCAAATTGAGTTTTTCAATGTGAAATAACAGTTACCAAATCCTGCCAAAGCAAGGCTGTCAGAGCAGCACAGATGGAGCCTGGAGGGGTGGGAAGGGGAGAGGGACCCTGTTGTCTCTTCCCAAGGATTCTCTTTGCCCCTGGTATCACCAAATCTGCACATTTTTATACCAGCCACGAATTCTGCCTCTTTTTTTGGCTTTCTAGGCGTTTCCTGGCAATGGGACATGGGTGATAAATGATGCCCCCTTTTCCCAGGTAGCCCTGTCTTTAGGTGCCAAATCCCCATAAGGTTTAT